CATTCAACTGATCCACCAGGCAGTTATATAAAGCATATGGAATATGCACTTGCTGGTAAGACCTTAACTTAGGAGTTGAAAATGGTATAAACTCAGTAAGCACAGATTCGCTGCTGCACGTATACACCTTCAATTACAAAAAAAAAAAAAAAAAAGGAACAATGGTATAAAAATGCTATATAGGATGATACCAAGTAAATGATGGCATTAAGCAACAAAGAAAAATATTACATTAAATCTATAATATTATCACGTTATTGCATAAAAAAAGTTCAAATAGAAGAATATTGACAAAGAACATCATAATCACATAAATACCATTCGTTATATTGCTACGAAACTATTCATCCCTCTTCCCTTCAAAAGAGGCTTATTAGGAATTAACTCAAGATTATAATCAGATAACAAATGTTATAATCAAATAACAAATGCTAGAAAAAGGCCCCTCATTTCAGTAAGTAAACATTTAATATGCGGGAAAACAATTCAAAGTTCAAAATCAAAATACAGAAGCAACCTTTGAATTCATGAGGGTCTCCAACTCACGAATCTTCTGCCAATAGTCGCCTGATGATTTTGCGCCTAGATAAAAAATGACAGGAGATTCAGATAACAAATAGCAAAAAAATCATATAAAAAATAGTAATTACAACAAAAACCTTTTGTCTTAATAGGGGAAGCAGTCATCCCAAAAATCCGAGGTAAATTACATATTCGAGATTTCAACTGGGAGTGATAAAACTCCTGAAAATGTAAACGTTGAATAAAAAAAAAGAATGAAATATTCGTACAAATAGTTTTATGATGAAGTGTCATATAGAAAAGAAGTATCCATACTTGGACATAAGACTGTTCTGAGCCATAGATACTTAAGTAAGCCAAATTACCAAAAAGTATCATTTCTCGGACAAAGATTCATCTTGATTTTTGCAAAAAAATCTTAAATAACAGATCATCATGTAGTTCTCCAAACTATTATGGTTCATTTTTTTTATTATTGAAGAGAAGCCTGCATCTGCACTGACACTTCCAACAGAAGAAAAAAAGCACAGAAATAGGCCCCTCTTTCATTTTAATAAAATTCAGCATCTTATTGTGAGTTTGGTGCAAAGAGCATTTATCTGTGTGTATCTAAATATAAGTGTTGAATATATGCAATAATCTATTTGATCAGATATCCATCAGATTTAATGAGATCAGACATGAATTAGATTGGAGAGCATCTTCAGTAATTGCAAAAGAAAAAAAGGAAAAGAAAATACAACTCCTACCAATGGATCAACATTCCACTTGTTTATGCATTTTGTCAATTTAAACGCATAAGTTTATTTTCAATTAGTGAAAAGATTCACTGATATGGGCATGGGTCTTCATGACAGAGAAGAAGCTAACAAGCTCGCCCGTCAACACTTGTTTCTTGGCTCATGAGCACAATGCTAATAGAAACATATATCATTGTTTTGAACTCTACAATTCAATTATACTGAAAGACTTGGTATCTCCCTTTGCTAAACTCTTTTCTTATCCTTGCTTTGGATTCGTTTTGTTTGTTTTAAGTTCTATGTTGAAATGAGAAGATATTAAAGATGGGACTATGTGCACGAACTGCAAAACATATGAAAAAGAATTATTTCCAGCAAATCACACAGCCAGGCACATCTGATCTTCATAAAATATCAATTGCAAAGCAGATCATGAAGTAGAACAGAATAAACTCACTCTCATTATAGAAGCATAAGGGTGATTCCCACGGGCATGATGGCATTCATCAATTATTAAAACCTTTATCATGCTTAATTTAAAAAATGCATGTCTCAAGCAGTTCAGC